TGGCTTCGCTGGCCGACGGACTGGACTGATTGGCAGATGGACTGACTGGACTGACTGACTGGACTGACTGATTGATGCATCACCGAGTGGGCTGACTGGACAGACTAACTGGACTGACTGACTAACTGGACTGGCTGGCTGGCTGACTGACTGGACTGAATGACTTAAAGAGGCACCGAACTCCAGAAGATAAACGAGGACCCAATCCAGCAACACAGACGAGAACCCTCATAAAACATAGATTTCCGACTGCCCCCTTTGTAGGTGGATGAGGACCAGGCAAGACAAGAAGTTTTGCGAGCCATAGTATGTTGTCAGTTGCGACTACGTATGAGGTAGCAGTTGTGGGGGCTGGCGGCCTGCTCTCTTGAAGACATCTTGGGTCGTCGGTGGTCGCCCCCATACGCGTTGAAACCATCGTGGGCCGACCTAGAGGATATTTGAGCTATCTTGGGGCGATACGAAAACAAAACAGAAACTGCGAACCAACATCCGTAGCCCATTTGGGCTCGAGGCTCCAGAAGACCTGGAGCGCCATGCCAGCCACTCGGGGGGCCACCTTGTCGAAGGATGATGTGGCGGAGGTGCTGCCCCTTGCGCCTGCTTCCCAGTTCGTAGACGGCAAGTTCGTATTGTACGACAAGCTCGCGTTCGGGCGAAGCCCGAAATGGGCCGCGGCCAAGCCTTTGGCCAAGGCCGTCTCGCGCATGCTGCAGCGCACAGGCGGCCTGCAGGCACTCCAGGTGCCCTTAGCGGCGGTGGAGGCGTACTTCGAGCAGCACGGGGCGCAAGTGAAGAAGAACGAGGCGGAGGCTTGCGCATCCCACTTGCGCGCATTGGTGCCCCATCTGGCCTCGCAGAAGGCTAAGGGGCGCGGGGTCCCAGCCGCGTTCGCGGAGAGCTTCAGCGTCGCCGTGGATTTGATCGTGGTCACGCCAACGTCCCCGAGGCCAGCGACGGCGACACGCGCGCCAGGGCAAAGCGCAGTCAGCGTCAGCAGCAGCGACGATGAGGGGATCGCCGACAGTTGGGGTCGCTCGGAGCTCTTTACGAGCACCGACGCTGACTTGGTCGCACTTCTCCAACCACATGTCCAGGTGAACAATCAGGCCAACGCGGACGCCGACGCCGAGAAGCTCGACGCGGAGGCCGACACCGACACCAAGGAGCCCGACGCCAAGGACGTCGGCACGCAGGAGGCCGACACCAAGGAGGCCAACACCAAGGAGTTGTTGCCAGCCGCGCCGCTGTTGGCCGACGCGGGCGCGAAGCAGCTCTTGGAGAAGCCCCTCGCGCCGCCAGGCCCTGAGGATTGGAAGGAGTTGCAGAAGAGAAAGAAGGAGGAGGCTGTTGAGAAGGCGAAGGCGGGTAGGGAGCCGAAGGTTGCTAAGAGGAGGCCAGCTGCTGCGAAGAAGCGTCCATCGGCCGCACCTCCTGAGCACGGGCCTGTGGAAGCAGCAACGCAGGGCACCGAGGCCATCGGTGACGTCGCACGCGTCGACGCAGCAGCCCAGGAGCAGAAGTCCGACGGCGCAGCAGCCCTTGCGACACGGCCTGACCTTGCGAGCATGTCGGACGATGAGCGGCGCAAGTTCCTCAACCGCGAGCACAGCAGGGCCCGCGGCAAACAGGCCACCCAGATGAAGAAAACAGGCGTGTCGCCGCAGAAGGTCAGGGAGGCAGCGCAGGCGGCAGCGACTGCGTGGACGGACGAGCTCCGTAACAAGTACCAGCGTCCGAAAAAGAATGAGGCAGTAGGCGTGGCTTCACAGGCATCTTTTGATTGCACGCGTGCGTTAACACGTTGGGGCGTTCGGCTCCGAGGAGCCAGCAACAGTTCGACTTCCTAGGGGCAAGCCCGAAGATGAACACACTTCGCCCCCCATGATCATCACGCTAACCATCCTCGCCCTCGGCCTCTTCCTTGCCCTCCTCGCCCTTCGCATTCACCCTTAGCCCTCTCATCCTCAAACCTCGTCATGTTGTCCTCCTCGTATTTCCGCCTATGGCTGGTAAAGATGATGGGCGGCTGTGATCAGGAGTGTGATGGTGTTAACGGTGACGGTGATGCCGATAGTGAACGTAACGACGATGATGATGATGATCCGCATCATCATCGTCAGCATCATCATCATCACCATCATCATCATCAGCAGCATCACCATCATCACCATGATGATGACGAGGGTGAGGCCATGCGCAGCAACATCACCATCATTGCCATTGCCATACATAGCCATGTTGGCTCACTTTCCCACGCACTATAAATATATACTACGAAGCATGTCTGACCTCGAACGTGAGCACCTCCTGGAGCTAGAGCAGCAGGGTGATTCTTTCATGGAGGAAGGTGCTTGCTCTTTGCTCGGACCGCGGCTTCCAACGACGATTGATGTCGAGAGCACCGTGCCTGTGGCTCCTGGCGCGGAAAGCCGTTGGGGCCCGCCTGGGCCCGACAGTCGGTGGGGCGACCTCCGCGCAGACAAGGTGGCCAACGAGTGCAAGAACATGGTGTTTCTCCTCGGGGCCTGGGCGTCGGGTGGCCAGCTGGGCACCAAGTATACAAGGTCCGTGGCTGAGGAAGTGGATGCGCTGTCGAACGCCATTGCCATCGCCTACAGCACCTTCGAGTCGGTATTCCCTGGAGGCCCACCTCCCGAGAGTGCGTTCGACCTCGATGCGTTCGTCGACAACACGCTGGACCCTTTGGCGGTGCGTTTCCTGGAAGTCCAGGAGGTTGTCCAGAACTTGATGCAGCCTGTCGGGGTCAAGAAGTTGCGCCGCACTGCGTCGGGCCCCGCGGACACCTACGACAGGGCGCTCGAGCAGGTAGGTACCTTGCAAGAGACCTTGCAAGAAGAGAGCCAGGCCGTCGCGGATCACGAGGTCGTGCAGGTCGAGGACTCGGTCGAGTGAGAGCGATCCGCCATTCTCGGTTTGTCCAGCGGCGCGACGGCGCCACCTCAAGCATACTCTAGCCGCTAGCCCGCTGTAGACGGGTCTGACGCGGTTGCGTGCACAGTGGTCTTCATCGCCAGCATCATCATCACCATCCACGCATCGGACTACACGGAGGATGCAAGCTTTGGTTCGGGAACAAACGCATTACTTGGAGAGTGCAAGCGCTGATGGTGGAACTACACCAAGCGCACGAAGGTGCAAGCACTGCTTGGGGAATGCAGCCGTCGATAGAAGAGATCATAGGAAATGGTGGACCATCTTGGGCGATCAAGACTAAGACGCTTTAGGAGTAAAACGTTCAATCGAGGACGCCCTAGGAGCACAACGCATACGTGCAAGCACTGTTTGGAACGGGTATGTTCATTGTGTTGGGCATGCAAGCGTTGCTTAGGGAATTCAGCCCCCATTTGGGGGTGAAAGCATCGTCTGCATCATGACCATCATCACCATCGCCAGCGTGACCATTGCACTATCACCAGCACCCCACGTCACCACAACTGGAGACATCTAGGCTCGAGCCAGCACCACCGAGCTGATCCCCAGAGCTTCCACCCTCCAGATGGGTAGGAAGCCTAAGCGTGGCAACAAGCGTGCCTTCGTCCAGAGAATTGCTACGTCTCTCAAGATCCAATACAAGCAGGCCCTCTCGTTCGTGAGCGCCTACTCGGACGCAGTAATTCAAGGAGTTCGCGAAGATGGCCGTTCGATTCTCCCCAACATCGGCTGTCTCTCCAGGGGGTTGCGCAATCCACGGTCGCAGCTAGACATTAATGAGGCTAACATGGGGTCGGGCGGTGGTATGGCCCAGCGCAAGTACAAGAAGGCCTACATCAAGTTCGCGTCCAAACAGGCGAGGAGGTCGTCGACGAGAGCACCTGGAACCCACAGAGCACCTTCACCTCGTCCAGAGAGCCTTCGCCTCCAGCAGCAGCGCCAGCCTCGACGAGTGGCCAGCCGTGATCGTGGCCAAGGAGTGCCATGAGTAAGTCGTCGAGTCACAAGGCTCGCCCAGCGGTGCGAAGGCACCACTTCGAGGATACTTCAGCGTGCGCGGCAGACGGGTGCTCTTCAGCAGCGCGTGCTCGGGGAAGAAGTGCTTGGAGACTACAGTCTGGACAAGCATTGCGGCTGTACGCTTTAGGGAGGGCAAGCGCTGTTTGGTGAACGCAATCAATGTTTGGGGAGCGCAACTGTTTGGGGGGCCCGCTACAAGGTGCAAGCACTGTTTGGAGAATGGAAGCAGTTGCAGGGTTGGGCACCTTAGGCACCTTAGGCACCTCAGAGGTGAAGTAACAGCCGAGGGCACTTAGGCAAGCATGCAAAAACGCAAGCACTGTTTGAATAATGCCGTTTCGCTGTTTGGGGAATACGTGCAAGCACTGTTATGGGGATGATATATAGCAGCCTGGGGAACGCAAGCACTGTTTGGGGAATGCAAGCGCTGTTTGGGGATCGCATACCGTTGCTAGCGCGCGTATACGGTGTGCCCTTTCGGATTGCACCCACGTCCTACTCCTGCCCCTCTTCGTTCCCGTCCACCCCCCCTCTGAGCTCCCCGAGCTCCCCCCCGCCCCCCCCCCTGCGTCCTCCTTCCCCCCTCCGCCCCGCGCCGAGCCCCGGCCCCCCTTGGGAGAAACACAAAAAACAGAAAAAAAAAAAAAACATAGAAACAAACAGATTGTTTTTCACCTTGTGTTTGCGTCCGTTAGAGCACCCAGGGCCGCCTAGCCGGCGCGAAGCCGGGATGGAATACAGGCTGCTTTTTTTCATGATTCTTTTTTTTTTTTGTCCACCTGGTTTTCGTTGGCCCCAGGGGCCCAGGGGGCCCCCGTGGGAAGGGCCCCTTGGCCGTGGCCGCTCTGGCTCAAGAGCGCGCTCAGTGCTGGGGCCAGCCGCCCCGTGGGAACCTCCGACGCCGCCGAAGAAGCGCGCGTTGGAGGCGCCGACGGCGTCAGCTGACGAGCTCGAGAAGGCAGAGGATCTCCTCAAGGACGCCGACGAGGCCAAGAGTTCGCGCGTCCACGGTGCACTGGCTCGAGACGAACGGGGCGAAGAAGACGCACGACGGGTGGCCGATTGGAAAAGGGCGTGAGCACTTCCAAACATGGTTCGCAGATAAGCTCAAGAGTGGAGGCACGGCGAAGTCCAAGAAGTCGGTCACCCTTCTCAAGAAGAACACGAACAAGGTCGCGCGGTGGAGCCTCAACAAAATGATTTCGGAATTCGGAGAGCAGAAGGCGAAGGAGAAGGCAGAGGCGTTCGACAAGGACCCAACCAAATGGCGCCCCGATCGCGACGCTGGGAAGGACGGGCCGCGGAGCAGGGAGCACGCCGTCAACTTGGACAGCCGCGAGGAGGGCGACGAGGAGCGGGACACGCGCGAGCTCGGCGCCGAGGCTGACCTTGACACCGAGGAGAGGCAGATGGAAGCGGAGGCATCATTCGCATCCATGAGGGCGCGCAACGCTGGAAGTTCGGCTGCGGGTGCGGGCTTGGTCGCTGTGAAGCAGGAGGAAGGCGAGCCAACGGAGGTGAAGCCCGAGGAGAGCGCGACCTTCAAGGCACTGAAGACGGACGGGAAGAAGGTAGTGTTCAACGTCGGGAAAGCGTTGACGATCGCCAAGCAGATGTTCATCGACTCGAAGGGCGGGAAGTTCCTAGGTGAGCTCAACATGGAGATCGCCAACAACGTCAAGGAGATGACGCAGATCTTTGCGTCGGTCGAAGACGCCGTCTTGCAGGGGGCGGGCGAGGCCACGATGTTGGCACTAAGCATGAAAATCGACAAGGCCTTCGATGCGCTGAACTCTTGTGTCGAGTGGTTCAACAAGTTCAACCCGAAGGAGAGCCAGCAGAAAAAGCAGAAGATCTGATGTCCTGCGTGCGTTTCGGCCCGACTCGACGGCCAGTCACACAGACGGGGGTGATAGCCAGGTGCAGGGACACATGGCAATGCGTCGGCGTGCTCGCTGGACGGGGCGGCGAGCGAGCGTAGAGAGATTATCAGTTGTGATCATCATCCACAACATCATCAAACTCGTGACCGACTGGACTGACTGGACTGACTGACTGGGCTGACTGGCTGATGGACTGACTGGACTGACTGGATTGGCTGAGTGAGTAGACACCCGACGGTGACTGACTGGACTGGCTGGTTGATGCATCAGCGACTGGACTGACCGACTGGACTGACTGACTGGCTGACTGGACTGACTGGACTGACTGGCTTAACTGGCTGATGGACTGGACTGACTGGCTGGTGGACTGGCTGGGCTGACTAACTGGACTTACAGAGTATGCTTCTAATGGTGGCTAGAAGAACTGACTGGTTGATGCATCAACGAGTAGACTGACTGACTGGACTGACTGACTGATTGGACTGACTGAGTGACTGGGCTGACTGACTTAAAGGGCTACCCACGAGAGAGAGTGCACTCGTGAGGGCGAGGGGCGAGCAGGGGGACAATGCAAAATGTTTACCCTGCCCACCCACCCACCCCCCGCCCCTCGAGCCACGGCTTTTCGCAAACTGGAACACATGCAGAACGTCATTGCTGCTCGCTCTGCCCCTCCCCCGCCCCCTTCCTCCCCCGCTTTGCCCTGCAGCCTTTTTGGCTCAAACCCCAGCGCCGTCGGCGCTGGGTGGACTATGCGCCCAGATGCTTCTATTCACCGCGTGCTTATTCATGCCTCCACGAGGCCACGGCATCCGCCAGAGGTTGGTGCCTGAGCCTTGCCATGCAGATGGCGTCCCAAGGGTTCCCGAGGCGCACGGCGGGCTTCGCAAGCGGATGGCGCCTCAGCGGTGCAACGAGGAGGCCAGCAGCGCTGCGCCCGCCGACGGCAGGGGCATCAGGCGCCGCGCCGAAGACCTTGAGGGCGCGACGCATTGCGGAGGAGACGCTCGTGAATTCACAGACCTTGCGGAGGAGATGGGCCATGGGACCCATCAGCAGCCCTGACGTGATCAAGTTCGCCAAGGCCGCGGCCTCCCAGGGAGCGCAGAACATCGGCGCTTACGCTGGCACATCCAACCTGCAGTCCAAGCACGCGTTCAGGGCAGTGCGTCGCGCCATTGGCACGCCAGCTCGAGCACCGTAGATCAGCTGGGCAGAGCTGAAGAACACCAACGGCGACGTGATCTTCCACCCGTTCGTCGACCCGATCGACACGTTGGAGGCATGGTACCGTAAGGGCCCTGTGGTGTTCAAACCACGGATCACTGGAGAAGATGGCGAGACCGCCCAATTCTGGCACGCCCTTCGGGATCACCCGACCTACAAATGCAATGCTTCGCGCATCTCGTCCACTACTGTACCTTTGGGCCTACGTGGCGATGCTGCCCCGACGTCGAAAGCCGACGGCCTTTTCACGCTTCAGTTCAATAGCCTGTTAGGCCATGGCGACACGGTTGCTACGAGAGATATCCTCACAGCATTCAAGGAGTCGGATCTCGACTTAGACATGTTCGAGCAGATGGTGGATCGCATTGCCTGGAGTTTCAACGCATTGTTCAAAGGCGTGATGCCCGCTCTTCAGCACAACGGCGCGCCTCACCCAGAGGCAGGCAGAACGTTGTGCTATGAGAGAACATTCGCTACCATTCAGATGCGAGGTGATTGGGAGTACTACTCGGATTTCTTGCACCTCAACAGGTGGAACAACGCGGAGTGCTGCTACTTGCGCGGTGCGACCCTCGCAGGAGGCGGCACGCGCTTCTCTCGGGCTGATCTTGGGGCGGGCTGGAGAGCAACACTTGTCGCGCATAACGGTCACCTGTTGAGCTGCCGACGTGGCGGCAGGCATCTCAGTAACTTCTTCCAGATCATATCTTTCAGGTTTGAGGGCATCATGGTCGATATGCTCCATTGTTTGGACCTGGGCGTGTCCAGCCACCGAATAGCAAACGTGCTCGTCGAAATCATGGCGCGTGGGCAATGGGGCCCGAACAGGGAATCACACATGCAAGGGCTTGTGGCCGACATCAAGCAGCGGCACCGCTCGCATAAGCTCGCCCACAAGCTGCAGGGCGAGCTTGTCTTCACCAGGCTCCGCACGCAGGCCGACTGGCCGAAGCTAAAGGCGCCTTCGCATGGTAGAAAAAAATCACACAGCAATCACCACCGCCCCCTCCCGCCTCCGCCCCTTCCCAGAGGTGCGAAGGGGGAGGGGGGGAGGGGGGGGGGGGGGGGTCGGACGGGCCACCAAGGAGGGACGATGGGTGGAGGAGCCGAGGTGGAGGGAATTGCAAGGGAGCAACTCTTCACGACGCATGTGCATACATACGTGAATATGCATACACGTGTGCATACGCATGTGCATGTACATGTGCATGTATGTGCATATACAGACATGGGCATGTACTGTGCATGCGTCGGCGCGCCGTGTGCCTATACACTTACGGGCCCCTATACATGAAAGCCGCAAGCACACGCATGAACCTCGCAGTTCGTATGGTTGCCCACACACACTAACATGCACACGTACTTGTGAAACACGTGTACGCATGCATGCAAACAGATCCACGCGCACGCGCTCACCCATCATCGCATACACGTACACGGATACACGCTATGCATGTATAGGCATGTGTACGTGTATGTGTGTGTACGGGTATGAGCATGCATACACACTTACCCTCACACACCCGTATGAGAGTGCAAGTCGTGCCCGAGTACGCATACCTGCACGTGCTCATGTTTAACAACACACGCGTGCATATGATTGGGCCTTCGTTTGCATGCGCGTGCATGCATGCACACGCAGAACTACATGTAACAACACGCATACAAAATACACAGTCACGAACGCCGTGATGCATATATATACTACTTGTGCACACAAGAACAAATCTAAACACATTTAGATACGCACCTGTGTGTAACAGCTAGTTTGCATCTGTAGAAACGCAACTGCCGATGCACATGCAACATCACATTGCCTTGCTCGGTAATAAGCTGGAATTGCACATCATGTGTGTCCGTGCGACGTGGATGGAGTCATATGTATTCATGCTGCACAATACAGCATGCATTCATATGTGTGCACTTGTAATTGCACATGCACATACGAAAGGACTTGCCATGTGGCCGCCGGCCCATCCCGCCACCGTGCCTGTGGTTGTGGGCCAGAGGCTGGTTTGATGTTTTGTTGGGCCGCGTGAAACCTCTTCTATGGGCCTCTTTGGTACCTTTAGGGCCTCTTGAGGGCCCCTTGGGGATCTCTTGGGGACCTCGTAGTCCTTCTTGGGGTCTAACATATTTGGGCATGTTGGGTGCATCTAGCCCCCCCCTCCTCAAAAAACACATATCTATGATACATGCGTGTGCGACCCAGCAGGCAAAAGCTGCTGCCACCCGTTGCCTCGTCCCATACGCGGCGGATTTGGCCAAGCGCTACAATTCGGGCTCCGAGCACGATCGGTTGCGGCTTGCTGCGTGCGAGCTCCTCGCGCGCTTTTACGATTTGACATGCGAGAATGACATGTTCCCGCCCCAGCCAGTGAAGGACGAGATGGCGCAGCTGGCCCGTGCTTTCATGAATGTGTATGGGAGACTTTCGGTGGAAGCAATTGCAAATGGGATCAGGGCATGGAGAATGACACCAAAATTCCACATGTTCGTTCACATGAGCGAACACCAAAACGTGATCAACCTTCGCTTCTACTGGACCTACAGCGACGAGGATCTGCAACGGATCATGAAAGAGATCGCGAAGAGCCTCCACCCAAGCAGTTTGGCCCATATGGTGTTGTTAAAGTGGTTGGTGCTCCAGTTCGACTGTTAATGGAGGCGTGCTTACGGAGGGACAAAAAGTGTTCCAGTGTGGACCCCAAATTGTAACTTTCCCTATTTAGCGCGGACCCAACGAATGTCTCCAAAGTGGATCCCGAACAGTGATGTAGGTATATGCATATGTATGTGTATATCACTGTTACAGTGATGCTCCAAACTGTGACTTAGCCTACGAGTGCGTAACACAATGCACCACGGACCCAGAACAGTGATTTACAAAACCCAGGCTCGGACCACTAAATAGCCCAAACAAGCTCCACACGTCGATTTGAAAATATAACCCGCCGACTCGATCGTGCCTCTCCATCCGTTGGTTATGGCAATTGGTCCATCCGTTGGGCGCCGTGTTTCGGCGCCCAACGGGCCCATGGGCCGCCTTTTCGGGGGAGTTTCTGGCGAGCCTCACGGGGCTCGTCGCCTAGCTGACTGACGTGCAGGGCTGGGAGGCGGTGGAGTCCTCCAGGGGCACGTGTCCAGCGGCCTTCGGCTCACCGCCACGCGTGGGGTTCCTCTTGGACCTCTTGGAGGCCCCTGGGCTGGCCCTGGGGGGCTGGTCGGGTCCCTGGGAACGGGAGGCGGGGGGGGAGGGTTGGCGAGGAGGAAATGAACGGGGGGGAGAAGGAACTTGAGAGGAGGATGAGGAGGAAGATGAGGATGAGGAGGGAGAGGAGGTTTGTTAAGATGAACGGCCGCATCGCAGACGTCGGCGGATATCATCGCCACGCCAACGGTGCTGCTCGCCTCTGCGTACCAGGTCCCACGTCCAGCACGACTCATATAGGATAGCGGTTGGTGACAGCCCTATTGAATCCAGAATGGAATGCGGCCACGCATATAATATATAATACCCCGAGGGCTTGCGCAACCGAACGAGGCTGTGAATACGATAACCGTGTTGCGTCAACAATGGTTCACGGCCCCGTAGGTGGGAAGCCGATGGTTTGCGCCATTGGCCATTGCATCGAAGGTGCGAAACCGATGTTTGTTCTCCATGGCCCACGGCGGCGAAACCGATAACCTGTGGCGTTCAAAATTAACCTTTATGTCGAAGATAAGTCTGATACCCGTTACACGTGCTTACGTTTGCAAGTATGGTAATCCCATTGTTTTCACAACGGTCTCCTGATCGCTATCGGCCGTATTATAGCTTCTGGATTGCGTGCGCTCGGCAGGCAATACCCAAACTAACAATAAAATACACAACAACCAAACACACAGACAAACAAGCAAGCAACACACAAAGGAAGCTAACAAACGAACACAACAATCACGCAATCACGCACGACATGCATCACGTAAGCTTAAACTAACAACACACACGCAAACGGGCAAACGAACAACATCAATCAAACAAGCGCCACCACGAACATACCAAACGAACGATGCAAAACCAACGCGCACGCCTAGAAACAAATAAACCCACGAACGATACGAACAACGAAAAACAACGAAACAACCAAAACGACGCCCAAGCAAAAAGGACGCCTCGGGGCGTCATTTTATGTAAAATGGCGCCCTCTGAGCGGCATTATGACGCGTGCGTTGCAGAAATGACGCGCGCGCTCTATGAAACCACGCGCGCGGGATCTATGATGGTGCGCGCGGGGAAAAGATGGCGCATGCGCCAAACAAATGACGCTTCAAGGGGTCGGGGACACTCAATCTCGCAATCGATTCACTATCGATATTACCCAATCAGTGCTTGCACTGAAGAGGTCCTAGCGGAGATTGGAAGATTTGGCGAAAGTTCCGGTTCCCGATTCCAGGTTCCCGGGTTCCCGGGTTCCCGGGTTCCCGGGTTCCCGATTTCCTGGTTCCCGGGTTCCCGGGTTCCCGATTTCCTGGTTCCCGGGTTCCCGGGTTCCCAATTGCCGGGTTCCCGGGTTCCCGGGTTCCCAATTGCCGGTTGCCAGGTTCCCGGGTTCCCGATTTCGGTAGGTGGCCGGGTTCCCGGGTTCCCAATTCTGGGTTTTTGGGTTCCCAATTGTTGGTTCCGGACCGATTTCGGTGGGCGGCGGGGTTCCCCGGTTTCCGTGTTCCCAGGTTTTTGATCGATCTCATTATCGATCGGTCTCACCATCGATCTCATTACCCACTTTTTTGTTGATCTAACAATCGGTCCCCTCATAGATCGCACGAGCGATTTCACGATCGATATCACTATCGATCTCACTGAATCGATTTCACGATCAGCCTCACGATCGACCCGACCTTACTATCGTCCTTACGATCGATCCCACTAACTAGCGGTCTCACTGTCGATCTCACAATCGATCTCAATATCCAGATCACGAATTTTCAAACCATCCACTGATTGGGTTTTTGTCGGGTGCATTTTTGTATCGCCCCCGTGAGGAGAAACCGATTTCGTGTTTGGAAGGCATCAAGTATGTGTGGTTTCGTTTGCCGTGAAAACTTGTCATACGTTCACTAACCACACCAGTTATCACCGCCGCCAGCCCCACCCGTTGCGCCACCCAACCGCAATCATCAGATGCTCCATCGGTCGCACCAAAATGGGAGGAGTGCTCCATCAGAAGCGCCGGAAGCAGAGGAGTGCAGGAATAACGAGGCAGCGGAGGCGGAAGTAAAAGCGAAGGTGGGGTCGGAGGAGGTGCGAAAGGAGGACGACGGTCGCACCCGGGCGCGGGCGTGTGGATGCCCCCCCCTTCTGCGGCAGGCGTTCGTCCCCGTCGCCCCTGCGGGGCCGCGTCCCGCAAGGCGGGGGGGGGGGGGGCAGGGCGGAGTTGGGGCGCACGGCTCTGCTTCTACGCCGCTACCTTCGCCTCATCTCTCTACCCCACGCCTCCCATAATGCTCCGCCTTCTCGCCGTCCTCGCTGCTATCTTCGTTCGCTGAGGCCTCCTTCTGCGCCTAGCCATCGTACCACCAGTGCAGATGCGGCTGTTCTTTCTCGTCACCATGATTATCACATTCATAGACGCCATCTTCAACAACCCATCATCATCATCATCATCATCATCATCATCATCATCATCATCATCATCATCATCATCATCATCAGAATTACCATCATCATCAGCATCATCATCGTCATCGACTTCACCATCTTGTCAGCAGCAACATCAAACACCGCAATCGTGATCATCGTCGGCATCCGTTCTTGGACGCGTATTTCTGTCCCTGAGCAGATTTTGATTGGATCGGCATGAATGCTCACTATCTGGAGGTTCTTGGCTGGCATCCGAAAGCTTGTACCGTTGGACAAACGGAAGATCTCTCTGAGCTCGTTTCTGGATCTTCCATGATCGGGTGTGGTGCGGATCTTGGAGGGATGTCGGGCTGAAGCGAGATGATGGCCACCGCCTGTCCAGTCTTGAGTTTCGCTTGGGCGTGATGAAGGTCCACCTTGTGCCTGACACAAGCAGACGGGGACTGGTATCCGAGCAGCATGTCGAAGCTTGTCATATAGTCGTGCGTTTACGCTTGGCTCACTTCTCTATGCCGATTATCTGGAATTCATTTTGCTGTAGAACTCAGCAGTGAAAGAAGTGGGCAAGGGGCAGAGGAGGCGAGAGGAGGGGGAGGGGAGGGGAAGATGGGGAGGGGAACGGGCGAGTGGAAGGAAGACGGTGGAGGGGGATAATGAGGGGACAGGAGCATACCCAGGATGCACTAACGATGTTGCAACACACACACACACTCCCGTCCCAAGCGAGGCATGTCCTTTTAAGCCCCTACTCGTACAAGCATTCCTTTTCAATACATGGAGCGCCAAGTTGATAGACAAGCGCTCTATGGGACGTCCATTCAGGCGCAAGCGCCCTTTTGAAAGGAAACTGCGCCACGGCCCTCCAGCTGTACATGATGCGAAGATACATGATCATAGATCAAGGGCGTGTCCAGCCCCATAATCCCCGCCTTGAGGAGGAGCCGTGTACGACCCGTGCGATTGCAGCACATGCTTACAAGTCGGAAGTTGAGGATGAGATCGCAGTGGAACGGAGACCCCCAACCGGGAAATAGTTTCGTTTCGTTCGTGTCGTGCGTGCGGGCGAGGCGAAGCTGCGTGGGCGCGCGAGAGGAATGAGCCCGCCGCTGCTAGGATGGAAGTCAAGACAAATGTTTCTCCTCCGTCCGTTCCTCCGGCGGTGGCCCTAGCGGTGTCCCGTGGTGCCGCGAGAGGAATGATACCGCCGTTGCTAGGGCGAGGTCAAGACACATGTTTCTGCTCCGTCCGTCCGTCCGGCGGTGGCCCCAGCGGTGTCCCGTGGTGTCCCGTTGAGTGAGATCGATCTTGAGATCGATAGTGAGATCGATGTGGTGCCCCGAGGCGTCCTGTGGTTTCCCGTGGTGTCCCAAAAAGTGAGATCGATAGTGAGATCGATAGTAGTCGACAAGTGTCCCGTGGTGTCCCGTGGTGTCCCGTTGAGTGGGATCGATAGAGATCGATCGTGAGATCGATGTGGTGTCCCGAGGTGCCCCGTGGTGTCCTATGGTGTCCCGTTGAGTGAGATCCGTAGTGAGCTCGATAGTGATATCGAATCGGAGGTTTGTGGGTGAGATCGCCGTAGAACGGAGAACCCCAACCGGGAAGTCGCTTCGGTTGGTTCGTGTCGTGCGTGCGGGCGAGGCGAAGTTGCGTGGGCGCGCGAGAGGAATGAACCCGCCGTTGCTAGGGCGAAGTCAAGACAAATGATTCTCCCCGCCCCGCCCGCCCTTCTGGCGGTGGCTCGCGGTGTCCCGCGGTGTCCCGTGGTGTCCCGTGGTGTCCGCCGTTGCTAATTAGGGCGAAGTCAAGACAAATGATTCTCCCACGCCCGCCCGTCCGTCCGTCCGTCCGACGGTGGCTCGCAGTGTCCCGCGGTGTCCCGTGGTGTCCCGTGGTGTCCCAAAAAGTGAGATCGATAGTGAGATCGAGGTGTCCTGTGGTGTCTCAAAAAGTGAGATCGATAGTGAGATCGACAGGTGTCCCGTGGTGTCCTGTGGTATCCCGTGGTGTCCCGTTGAGTGAGATCGATAGTGAGATCGATGTGGTGTCCCGTGGTGTCCCAAAAAGTGAGATCGATAGTGAGACCGATAGTGAGATCGAGAGGTGTCCCGCGGTGTCCCGTGGTGTCCCGTTGAGTGAGATCGATAGTGAGATCGATAGTGAGATCGACAAGTGTCCCGTGGTGTCCCGTTGAGTGAGATGGATAGTGAGATCGATTGAGTCAGATGTTGGTTCCCCCCTCTCCCCACACACACACACACACACAACTTCCTTATCACCCGAAGGGTGGTCGTTTAGGTATGGTATTGTTCAGGGAAGTCTCAAGCGAGAGCCCCGTTTTGAAAAGAAACACGATACACCCATACAATTGTTGCACAGCTTCATATTTGGTGACATCATATGACGAAGTTTCCAGCGGGCGCCCCGTTTTGAAAAGGCACCGCGGTCCGTCTTGTTTATCGTTGGACGCATGCAAGACGAAAGTGCGCGGCGCTAAAGCCCAAGCCACACTTTGGAGTCTGTTTGCCCTCCATCCTTGTGACTGCTCTGCGTTTTTAATACAAACGTGCGTGGCGCTGGGGCCTGAGACACTGTCAGGCAAAGACCCGGACTCTGTCATTCTGATCGCTTGCAGCTGTGCAGACAAAGATGCGCAGCTCTGAGCCGACAGCCGCACTGTGAAAATGACCCGCCGTCCACACATGCAACTCCTGGAACCGTGGAAGACGAGTGTGCGAGGCACTGGAGCGCGAGCCGCATTCTGAAGCACGTTAGCCTTCCATCCACAGAGCAGCTTGAGATGTCAAGGCTCGGGATCTCGAGCGGGGAGGGAGCCTCAGGCGAAATGTCTGGCCCGCCATGCCGATACGTCTGGTGGTACGACGAGGAGGATCGGGCCGAACGAAAGGGGGGGATTGGGAAAGGGGGGGTACGAAATTTGCTGCATGCAGCTGGTTTCGGCCCCGCCAAGGGGCCCATTCCTCGATACATAGTCGCCTCCGGCGCCGGGAGGCGCCGGAAAAATCAGCTACGTGAGCTGATTCTCAAACACCCCCTTTGTTATCCCCCCTTTCGCCCGACCCGAGAGAAGTTATTGATCAGAGTAAAGGGGCCAGTCGGTCTTGCACATGTCTGGTACTGGTGCTTGGTTGACGTGGGGTTCCGCGGTACGGAATCTTGCGTCGACCCACCCGATCCCGCGACCCACCCACCCCGCGCGACCCACCCCGCGACCAACCCGCGGCCCACCCCGCCACCCACACCGCGACCCACGGGCGACCCACCCGCGATCCACCCGCGACCCGCCAGGCGATTCACCCGCGACCCACCCCGCGACCAAATTGCGACCCACCCCGCAACGCCCACGACCTACCCACACTTGCTTTGACGAGCAAATCGTCGCCTGGGACGGGCTCGTTGTTTGTTTGCACTCGAGCATCGTGAGCTACAAGCGCCCCCCCCTTCTTATCCGCAACTGCGGGTGCTACGGTAAGGATGTTGGGTTCAGGAGGAGGAGGAGGAGGAGGAGGAGGAGGAGAAGAACGGGGAGGTGGACTCTGGGATTGGAAGGAGGAAGGGGAAGGAGGAAGGGACAAGTTGCGAAAGAGAGGGGAGGAAGCCCCCCGCTGGCCCCCGGCAGCGCAACAGGCGCCGGCCCAAATTTGCTTTGTCGCACCGCCTTCCATTGCATTGGTCGTCCTCCCTCTTTCTGATACATCCCTCTCCGCTCCCTCCCTCTTCTTACTCTCCCATCCATTGCCCAAATTCTCCACCTTCATTCTTCCCACACTACCATATTTCTCCTCATCTTCATCCTCTGTCCTTTCTTCTCTTCCTCCTATTCTCTCCTTCAATCTATCACACCTCCATCCCACGTCCACTCTCCCCTCTGTCGCTACTTCTCTGCGCCTCCACCTTGCCTCCTTCCGCTCACCACTCCGCCCCCCCTCCCCATCATCCAGCATCCCCTTCCCCTCCCACTCATCTTCCCTCCTCCTGCCATCGTCTTCGCCCTCTTCTTCTGCACACGCCTCCGCCTCCGCCACATCCGCCTCCACCTCTTCCCCTTCGCCTCGGTCCACAATGTCATCCTCCGACGACGAGGAAGACGTCATGTCGCCCGCAGTGGCCAGAGAGCTCCTCTACGCCAGAGGGCGGCGCGAGGGCGCGAAGATCACCGCGCGTGAACTTGTGTGGCTCCCTGCGCATAGTATCCGCAAGCGCAGGGTGCCTACGGCAAAACTGAGGTTCCGCTTCTCTACACATACCCGCGTGCATGCATGCGAGGATATGATGTTTCCGATGTGCCCGACGAGGGGGAGGAGGAGGAGGAGGAGGAGGAGGAGGAGGAGGAGGAGGAGGAGGAGGAGGAGGAGAAGGAGGAATAGGAGGAGGAGGAGGAGGAGGAGCAGGATGAGGAAAAGCAGGAGGAGGAGGAGGAGCAGGGGCAGGAGGATGAGGAAGAGGATAATCAGGGGAGGAGGAGGAGGAGGAGGAGGAGGAGGAGGAGGAGGAAGAGGAGAAGGAGCAGCACGAGCAGCAGGAGGAGCTGGAGGAAAAGAAAATGGAGGAGGAGGAGGAGGAGGAATAGGAGGAGGAGGAGGGAGGAGGAGGAGGAGGAATAGGAGGAGGAGGAGGAGGAGGAGGAGGAGGAGGAGGAGGAGGAGGAGGAGGAGGAGGAGGGGGGGGGGGAGGGGGAGGGGGAGGGGGAGGGGAGGAGGAGGGGGGGGCAGGGGGAGGGGGAGGGGGAGGGGGAGGGGGAGGGGGAGGGGGAGGAGGAGGAGAGGAGGAGGAGGAGGAGGAGGAGGAGGAGGAGGAAGAAGAGGAGGAAGAGGAAGAAGAAGAAGAGGAAGAAAGAAGAAGCAGAAGAAGAGGAGGAGGAGGAGGAGGAAGTGAGGAGGAGGAGGACGAGGAGGAGGAGGAGGAGACGAGGAGGAAGTGAGGAGGAGGAGGAGGAGGAGGAGGACGACGAGGAGGAGAAGGAGGAGGAGGGGGAGAAAGAGGGGAAGGAGGCGGCGAGGGCGCCTCCCCGAGAGCACCCATGGCGCCCGTGACCGCCGACGGGTGGGCTTCGAGAGGGTCGCCGCTCTGGGGAGCTGAGTTGACTGCACACGTAAGAGTGACCTCTCGCTCCTCCTCTTCCTCCTCCTCCTCTTCCTCCTCCTCCTCCTCCTCCTCCTCCTCGTCCTCCGCTTCGTCCACCACTTCGTCCTCCTTCTCGTCCTTTGTCCCGAACGGACGACCACTGGACGGACCTTCTGTGCGCGGCTTGTGGGGGGCGAGTAAGACCCGAACCTCAGCTCGCACGCCGCGAAGTACTGCAGTCGCATCGCACGTGACGCAAACCGCTCACCGAAGGTCAGTCCCCAGGGTCACTCTTGTGTGTGTGTGTAGCCGAGAGAGGGCGGCCCCGGTGCAGTCTCAGGGTGGCGCTCGGGTGTCCCGGACCTCCGACGTCCTGAACGAACACTTGAAGACGG